ATGGTAAATTTAGGTAACGATCATCATCACAAATGCATGCACACAAAGTCACAAGGTATAAGCATCCAATCAAATGCTTAGAATTGCGAACTTCACTTAACTTGCCATAAAACCATACACTCCGTATTTCATACTCCGTTCCTGGTACATTAACAGATCGACACGAGGCTACGGCTATAGTAGGTAAGCTAGCCGACTATAACCTAACCGAATCCATCCATCGATTTTTTATCAGCTATAGGTTTTTGACAGGGTCGGTTTTGAGAGAGTGTGCTGTGTCTTCTTTATTATAACAAAAATCTTGGTTATTTCATATTTATTGCAATCTACGTTTTTTCCTGTTACGCCAAAAACTTTATTTTAAAACAGTGCTTTGAGAAAACAAACTCGAAATTTGATTGGTTGGCATTCACGTTATTATTTATGTAAACTCAATGCTAAGAATTTTTTGCATTATAAGCCTGGCCATACATTTATTCTCATCTATTTATTTTATTGAATATAAATTGACTTGTCATAATTCATTTAAAGATCTAAACTGAATCTGTTTTAAAGACATATTCGAGCCCAATCATTGTATAGAGGTATTTTTTATGCATAATCTCATGATAATGACTAAATGGTATTTTAATTTCATTTAGAAAATGTAAAGAAGCCAATTTTCCCTTTATTTTTTAACTAGATGTTAGGAATTGATTATAAAATATTGATCACAGTTTTAAGATAAAATATAACTTTGATTTTGATTATACTAGGAAACAGGAACTGTTGGTTCAGAACCTTAATATTTAGATTTTAATTTTATAGCTTTTCTTTAAAAAAATTATAAAAATATCCATATATCATTTAAAATACAAGGTTACCACCAACAAAGTAATAAAGGTAATTTAATATTTATTATTTTTCAATATTCGTTTAATAAATTTATATACAGTATTTAAAATAACATATTTAGTAGAACTTGCTAACTACCATTTTGCCATCTAGCAAACACTAAACTATAAGTCGTCAATTTCGTTTGTAAAACGAAATTGATTTTTATCCTTTTTATTTTTAGGCACATACATATATAAAGATATATAACAATTGCTGAATTGTCGTAGTATGGCAATAATAAATAGAATACTTCCAATTCGATAACTTCCTTTTACTTGATTTAATAATCTAAATACCAATACCAATATAAAATAAGCAATAAATTTTGTTAGTTACTGTATGTCTATATCAATTACAAACTAGCAGTTAACTATATAAACTAGTTGCATTAAACTGCTTATAAAGTTTACATAAACAGTTTATTAGAACTAGTTAATTGGAATTATTAAACTATTTTGATTAATTTGCGCGGCTTTTCATTGGTTAAAATTAAAGATTCTTTTATACATGATATATATAACTTGTGATAATATTTCTCATTAACTCCATAATTATATAACGGTTACAAACTAGCTCATATTCAACAGCATCGTTTTACGATGTATCGACAGACGTGATAAACTGGCTAGTTCAACTGATTTTGGCTTAAACGATAACGGTTTGGGCCAAACTGAGTCAATATAATTCTATCCTAACTACTTAACACCCCCGATTTTTAACAAGGTAACATCTCTAATTAGTCATAAGCAAATTAATATTACTTACCATTGGGAACTTCAACACAATCAATAGGTTGACTTGCTAAAATATATACATATAAATATACTAAAATGACAGCTTGAATTCAATTTTAAGAAAATAAATATTATTACCTGCATTTACTATATTGATAGATTCGGAAAATTATAAAATTAATAACATATTACTAATGTTTTAAAAAATATAAGTATTATTACCTGGTTTAGGGAGGTTTGAAAGGTTCAACAATCGACTTGTATAAATAGCTTGTGGATGTGTCTGATATTTGAATCGTGCCGATTTGACTTGATCATATGTTAAGAAATTTTTGTCTAAGTCTTTAATATTTTTAACTTGCCTATATAATTCAGTTTTTTTATTTTTCAAATCTTTAAAAAAAAAATTCAGCGTATTAACCAATTCTTTAGCAGTTGGTCTGTTTTGAGGTTCTGTGTCTAAGCATTTATTCATCAGATCCAAAAGTAATCGAGGAACTTCGCATCTAATTTTAGGCCTGAGACCTTTGCAAATCTTGAGTGCAAGGCTGAAATCATGTGGAATATCATGATATGGAGGATATCCAGTAATAACTTCCGACATAATTATTCCGAAAGAATAAATATCTGATTTTTGAGTGTATTCCTTTCCATTTGTATATAATACCTCTGGAGCAATATATGGAAGCACACCAAAAAGTGCTGTAGAACTTGAGTCTTGTGACACTGGCTTACTTAAACCAAAATCAGTAATATAAGAACTAAACATATTTTGATTAACTATATTTCCAGAATGAAAATCTTTATGCACTAATTTGGCTGCGTGAATTGTATCAAGTCCACTAGCTATGTAATATAAGTTAGCAACTTTAGAAAACCAATCTAATTCACCAAATTTACTATCTAACAATTTTCTGAGACTTCCCTGCTTTGCGTATTCCATAACCATCATGTAGTTAGCATCTTTTGGGTTCTTGGTTATTCCATAAATTGCAATTGCAGAATCGCCCCCATGTTTATGTTGATTATTAACCTAAAATATTAAATAGAATAAATAAAATTATTACACTCTAACAATAATAAATTATAATGCTTACTTCTTCTAAAAATTCTTGTTCTATGTCTTTAGAATTATCAAGACCCTTTAAACAAACATCTATTTGTGCTTTTCGTTCCCATACATCCTTTAGATAATCAAGCCCTATAATATATCCGTCAATCCATACTGCCTTAAAAACGGTGCCAAAGCCCCCTTTAGCAAGATACTTTATATTTGTGAATTTGCTAAAGGGTATCCATTCAATAATGTCTTTAAACCATTCTGCATTAAATTGTGTTTGTTGAATTAATTGATCAATGTCGTGATTGTCACTTGTCCAATTACGAAATTCTTCTTTAATCCTTAATCTTAAAAAATAATAAACAAATATAATAATTAAGAGCTACGACTACTGATATTTTTGATTTGCTGTAAAAAATTCTGTTATTGTCCCACTAAATTTACTTATTGTCTACGAAGTGGACAATAACCATGAATTAAACCCGATCGGACGATCAAATAATGACGAAATGGCGCACTGGCTGGTGTGCATTCCGTCATTATTTGATCGTCTGATCGGGTTTGATTCATGATTATATTCGATAATAAATAGTATTTATTGTACTTACTTGCTATAGAGATACAAATGATTTAGATATGGTTATGTTAGTTTTGTATTGGAATGAACGTGCTTTCTATAGTGATATACTGCAAAAAATTCTTTTAATGTACTTACGAGCTATGGTGGTGATGCAAGTGATTTAGATATGGTTATGTTAGTCTTGTATTGGAACGAACGTGTTTCTATAGTGATTTACTGTAAAAAATTCTTTTACTGTACTTACTCGCTATGGTGGTGATACAAGTGATTTAGATTTGGTTATGTTAGTCTTGTATTGGAACGAACGTGTTTCTATAGTGATTTACTGTAAAAAATTCTTTTACTGTACTTACTCGCTATGGTGGTGATACAAGTGATTTAGATTTGGTTATGTTAGTTTTGTATTGGAATGAACGTGTTTTCTATAGTGATTTACTATAAAAAATTCTTACCGACTTTTGTGGTGATACAAGTGATTTAGATATGGTTATGTTAGTTTTGTATTGAATTAACGTGTTTTCTATAGTGATTTACTGTAAAAAAATCTTTTACTCTACTTACTTGCTATGGTGATTTAGATATGGTTATGTTAGTTTTGTATTGAATGCACGTGTTTTCTATAGTGATTTACTGTAAAAATTTCTTACAGACTATTGTGGTGATACAAGTGATTTAGATATGGTTATGTTAGTTTTGTATTGGAATGAACGTGTTTTCTATAGTGATTTACTGTAAAAAATTCTTACAGACTATTGTGGTGATACAAGTAATTTAGATATGGTTATGTTAGTTTTGTATTGGAATGTTCGTGTTTTCTATAGTAATTTACTGGAAAAAATTTTTTTACTGTACTTACGAGCTATGGTGGTGATACAAGTGATTTAGATATGGATATGTTAGTTTTGTATTGGAATGAACGTGTTTTCTAAAGTGATTACTATAAAAAATTCTTACCGACTATTGTGGTGATACAAGTGATTTAGATATGGATATGTTAGTTTTGTATTGGAATGAACGTGTTTTCTATAATGATTTACTGTAAAAAATTCTTACAGACTATTATGGTGATACAAGTGATTTAGATATGGTTATGTTAGTATTGTATTGGAATGACGTGTTTTCTAAAGTGATTACTATAAAAAATTCTTACCGACTATTGTGGTGATACAAGTGATTTAGATATGGTTATGTTAGTTTTCTACTGGAATGAACGTGTTTTCTATAGTGATTTACTGTAAAAAATTCTTACAGACTATTGTGGCGATACAAGTAATTTAGATATGGTTATGTTAGTTTGTATTGAATGAACGTGTTTTCTATAGTGATTTACTGTAAAAAATTCCTACAGACTATTGTGGTGATACAAGTGATTTAGATATGGCTATGTTAGTTTTGTATTAAATGAACGTGTTTTCTATAGTGATTTACTGTAAAAAATTCTTTTACTGTACTTACTCGCTATGGTGGTGATACAAATGATTTAGATATGGTTATGTTAGTTTTGTATTAAATGAACATGTTTTCTATAGTGATTTACTGGAAAAAATTCTTTTACTGTACTTACTATCTATTGCAGTGTTATGGTGATACAAGTGATTTAGATTTGGTTATGTTAGTTTTGTATTGGAATGAACGTGTTTTCTATAGTGATTTACTGTAAAAAATTCTTACAAACTATTGTGGTAATACAAGTGATTTAGATATGGTTATGTTTAATTTTTGTATTAAATGAACGTGTTTTCTATAGTGATTTACTGTAAAAAATTCTTTTACTGTACTTACTATCTATTGCAGTGTTATGGTGATACAAGTGATTTAGATATGGATATGTTAGCTTTGTATTGAATGAACGTGTTTTCTATAGTGATTTACTGTAAAAAATTCTTTTAATGTACTTACTCGCTATGATGGTGATGCAAGTGATTTAGATATGGTTATGTTAGTTTTGTATTGAATGAACGTGTTTTCTATAGTGATTTACTGTAAAAAAATCTTTTACTATACTTACTTGCTATGGTGGTAATACAAGTGATTTATATATGGTTATGTTAGTTTTGTATTGGAATGTTCGTGTTTTCTATAGTAATTTACTGGAAAAAATTCTTTTACTGTACTTACTCGCTATGGTGGTGATACAAGTGATTTAGATATGGATATGTTAGTTTTGTATTGGAATGAACGTGTTTTCTATAGTGATTTACTGTAAAAAATTCTTTTACTCTACTTACTTGCTATGGTGGTAATACAAGTGATTTAGATATGGTTATGTTAATTTTGTATTGGAGCGAATGTGTTTTTTATAGTGATTTACTATAAAAAATTCTTTTACTCTACTTACTCGCTATAGTAATGCAAATAATTTAGAGTATGTAGGTTACAGTGGTTGACTATAAAAATTCTGTTGCTGTACTTACAGACTTGTGATTGACATAAGTGGTAATCGAATTATTATTTACTTTTAAGCTTACTTAAGCTACTAAAATTTACAAAGGCATATCATACTTACAACCCCCTAACTAATTCATAAGCCTTCTTTGCCCATACGTCATTTGGTTTAATTCTTAATAATTTATACAAGTCAGCAATTGATTCATTATACCTTTTCATCATATAATTAATTTCACCTCGATATCTTAAAGCTATTGTATTATTTGGCATGATTTTTAGCAATCTAGTTAAATCTTCAAATGCCTTATCATATTCGGCTATAATAAAATATATCTTTGCTCTGTAGGTTAATTCAAATACATTAACTGGCCTTTTTGTCTATTAACAAATGATAACATTAGATGTTTGTGATCAAGAGATTATTTTAGATTTTTATAATGTTATTTA